GGGGGGGACGAGGTTGGCCGAGGTGGGGTTGCTGATCGGCTGGAGCCGAACCGAGTCGAAGCCGTCATGTAGGCGGAGTTCGGCTATCGGCGGGAACCACCGTATTGTTGCAATTTGACAACGTGCTCTGTTCGTGCCTCTTCCCGCGTTTTACAGTTTACTCCTCAAGTTTTCTTTGTCGTTCTTAAAATTTTGTTCATTTTGATTTGATGAATGATGGATGAAATAGTCAATTATTCTTTAATGGCCGAGGATGGCCAAGTATTTACGTCCAGAATGACCAAAAGAGAGGCTGCAATTTACGACTTGGGTGAGTATATGATTTTATAACCTCTTGTGTCAAGTGAGTCCGAGATGTCGCCTATTTGTAGCTCGTTCCTTTCCTTGTGCAGATCATCATAAAAGGTACAGGTTGTTGATGAAATTAAAAGAAGACCAACAAGAGATGATTGATGAGAACCCATCCACACCCGTCTGTAAGCATACTGATGTGACCTATGCCTCTTATTTGCATCTCAAAATTTACTCTAATCAATGTTCTTTTTGTTGTACAGCTAGTACCTCGCAACTCACGTCCCAGTCTCAACCAACTCCCAGTAACCCTGGTCCTAGCTCGACTGACGACGGTGGCGATGGGAAAAATGGACTTTGGAAGGGTGATTCTACAGAAAAAATGTTAAGGGTTTGCTTCCCATACCGCAAGTGGCTGCGCCCCATCAGATATGTATCTGAGGAAATGTACAGTCTCGTGGCCTCTGAACTTAAGGCTCAATTTCATTGGAACTTCAGTGCCTCTAAAATAAGAGAGAAGTTGCGAAACTTGCGCAGGACTTTTAAAAACAACAAGAAGGGTAAAGGTAGTGGCGAAAAGTGGGAACACTTTTGGGCCATGACTTACATCTACGATGAACCTATTCAGGAAGGAGATGTAACTTTGGCACCTATTGGTAAGTTTTCTCTTAAAATTCTCATTGTTGTTGAATGTTGCTTTTTCTGATTCAGTGTTTCTTTTCAGGCTTTGAGCCTCCTGTATCTGCCCCTGTCAATCCTTCAATTGGGTTGAATCTTAGTGATGGCTTGGCATACCTTTCCCAGAATGCTAGTAGTTCAGCTGCTCAGCAAACTAGCTTTCCGTGTTCGGTCCCTGAGTTTACTGGCCCATCAGCCACCCTAGCACTTCCAAGTAGTTCTTGCTCCCCACCTGCTAGCAATGGATTTCTCAATCTGCTATCATCCAGTTAGTACTAAATTTGTTTGACATAATTTTTGTGAACCCTTAAAATTTCCTATTTCTTTACCTTTCCGTTTCTATATCTCTCCTGCAGGTGTGAATGTACTTGATAATAATAATAATAATGACTTAGGCTGGGAGTGTTCAGACCTTTCTACTTGGGACGAAAAGGAAGCATTGTCCAGCACCCAACTTCCGAGAATATCTTGTATGTGTTCATTTTGAAATTTGTTTGTTTACACACTGGGTTTACTGCCCGCACTGGTGTATAGAAACCCATTTGATGTATATCCTGTTTAATTACTTATCACTTTTTGAATAGCTCTTGCGAACTGTCAAGTGCAACATGGACAACTTAAAAGTAACGATTTTGAGGAAGTTGAAAATGACATAACACTTTTAAATATGTCAGATGAGGAAGAAGCTGATTGCACTGAACACCTTACCTTACAGATGGTAAATATATTTTGTGATAAGTTACACTATGCTCCAACTATTACTGTTCTTAGTAACTTTAATGCAACTTATTTCTTTGTTCAGTCAGTGATAATTTGGTGTCACCTGCTAAAAAGAAGGCTCAAAAAGATGGCGAGATTATTTGGTTGATTTTGTGACGTGATAATGAACTTTTATGTGCTGCTGTATTTTTACTGTCATCTTCTACTTTATTTTCAGATGGATCTCTCCAAAGGACTCAAAACACACCTCGAAAGACCCCACGAAAGCAGAAACCATGTGGTGGTAGTGGTGGTAAAACTCCATCCTCACCAAGGAACATAGCTGGGAATAGGAGGACTCCAAGGAGGAATTTGTGCTCACAGAATGAGCTTGTTTGGCCTCCCGCAAGAATTAAATTACTCCTTGCAGAATGCCTCATTAGGAAAGACAAAGTTCAGCAGGAACATATTCCTGTTGCAACATGGAAGGAGATTTCCAAGGCTCTGAAGGACTCTGGGGAAACAGTGTCTTGGGAAGTTTGCAGAGGGAAGTTTTGCAGTCTCTCAGATTATTTTTCAGAGAGGCTTCTCAACACTCGTGGAGTTGTAGGTGGAGTAAAAGTTCCGTACTATAAACTGTTATGTCAAATTTATGATGTGACAGTTAATTTTGAAATGCCTCAAGAGGTCACTGCTCAAACATCATCTTCCAGTAAGTGTGTGGGTTTACTTTATCCTTTTTATCTCCCTCATGCATTTGATTTTTAATAGTTTTTGTACTATTGACACAGATAAACTTTGGGATGCTGCCAGCATCAGCCTTTTACTGAGCCTTTACAGAGCACGCCAGGACGCCTTTAATGGCACAAAATCATGTGTACGGCACACCACCTTGTTCAAGGAAATATCTGCAGCTATGTTGCCTTTCAAAATGAGTGTGACAGGCAAGCAATGTGCGGATAAATTTAATGAGCTGAAGAAGAAATACCACGAAGAGTTTGACGAAAGCCACAGGAGTGGTGCATCTCCCAGCACTTGGGAGTATTATTCAGAAATGGATGCACTTTTGGGTAAGTCTGC